GCGCGGAATTATATGCAATTCTTTGAACAATATTGCATAAATTTGCATATTTGAAACATTTTATACTACTGTGTGGTGATTAGTGACCGAATGATCATTCGGAAATCGTGAGTTGCGGTCTGGTGTGACGTAGGTTTCAGAAAAACATTTTCTTTATCGTGCCAACGTTTCGATCTTTATTGAGATCATCTTCAGGGCCTGGGATTTTCAAACATTGTTTAAATTTAACAAATGCATGTCGGAAGTGGAAAAAATTGAATTTATACATTGCAAAAAATATATTTTTTATATTCAATCAAAGTATTTCTACTCACTCAAAGTGTTTGTTTTCTGTGTAATTGTGCCATTCTTGCGTGTCGTGTTGAGAGTGCCAGTGAGATTTTGCTGTTTTATGTTTATATACGTAGGATTTGAAGGGGGAAGGATGTCGGTATAGAAAGATGTTTTTGTATAAGGTGTGGCTTCTTTGAGGTGAAAAGTTGGTTGGCTAGATTATCCTTTCAGGATTGAATAGACGGGGATAAATAGGAAAAGGAAAGCTAAATTGTTGAAAAATTAGACTATGTAAAAATGTTTGATGTGTGGAATATGATGAATGTTTTATATGTAACATTATATGCTTTATGTGATGTGAAGATATATGTATGTTATCGATATTGAATTTTATTAATGATATTGGCGTAGCTGAGACTGAGTTTACATGTGTCTGTTCTCTAATCTTTTCCACATCCTACATGTATTTGTTAAATTTAAACAATGTTTGTAAATCCCAGGCCCTGAAGATGATCTTAATAAAGATCGAAACGTTAACACGATAGAGAAAATGTTTTTCTGAAACCTACATCACACCAGACTGCATTTTATACAACTGCAATCATTTTACACTATTGAAAAAAATATACATTAGGCAATCAAGAACAAAAGAGGGGAATACAAGAGCTTTAAATTGGATTGTGATAACAGTTAGTTACAAAGACGTAAACAATCTTACACAATAGTATTTTCTCGAAATGATCGGTATATTTTTTAAGACACCTATTTCTAAAATTGACTAGACAGCTTTTTGCATTTCTTGAACAATTTTCTTTTTCTGAAGTAGTCGGGTTGTGAAAAGGTCATCATTTGAAACTCCCTAAACCAGCCCCCTTTCTTATTTTCAACCTAGTAAGCCTAAAGTGGTAACTTAATTTCTTGTAAAATAGTAGCAGGTTGGGTTTTCAAAGCAAAACAGAAATTTTATGCAGTGAAGGAATTGTATTAATATTATTATTACCTTATTATTTACAGCTTAGGTCACTTGAAACAACATTGGAAACAATTCCACTAGTTTTTGTGGTCCGCTTGACCAATTAATATCTTTCAATTAATTAAGGTTTTTAGTTGAGATAAAAAGTCAGTGTCACGAGCGGGATTCGAACCTAGATACGCCGCTACTCTACCACTTGAGCTATCGTGACTTCGATCCACTCGGACACTAACTTCCCATCTCAACCCCACCTTTTTGAATTTTCCCTCCTTTTTGCCATTTTTCACCCCACCTTTTTATCTCATCTAAAATCCTTAATTAATTGAAAGATATTAATTGGTCAAGCGGACCACGAAAATTAGTGAATTTAATAATATAAAATTATATCTTCACTAAAGCTCTCCGTGGCCATTTCATTTGTCGCCGAGGATCAAATAGATTACACGATTTTGAAAAATGGCAAAAAGGAGGTAAAATTCAAAAGGTGGGGTTGAGATGGGAAGTTAGTGTCCGAGGCCGAAGGTCGTGGGTTCGAATCCCACTCGTGACACTGACTTTTTTATCTCAACTAGAAACCTTAATTAATAGGATACAATAGCTTGATCCTAAAAACCCAAAGAAGTCAGTTCTCCTGCTCTGGTGTTACTGAATTAATTAATTAAACGCGCTTTTTACTTCAATGTCCCCTTCCCTTCAAAATAAAACTCAATTTCCTCATCTAGATCACCGAAAATTGTCCTTTAGTTTTTCAAATGTTTCTCATGAGAATGTTAGTTTTTCTCTGGCACTCTCAACACGACACGCAAGAATGGCACAATTCACAGAAGACAAACTCTTTGAGCCCAGAAGATGATCTCAATAAAGATCGAAACGTTGGGACGATAAAGAAAATGTTTTTCTGAAACCTACATCACACCAGACCGCATCTCACGATTTCTGAATAACTTTCAATTAAATCTGATGCTACAGGTTTCGAGCTTATTCGTATTAAATTCATCATTTTTCCCTTCTTGTTACTTTAAAATGCAAAACCAAATTTTGAACATCATTACTGCTTCTAATCTCATCTCCTCTCTGTCTGGCAGGCTTCAGAGAATTAAAGCATCCAATTCTATCTTCCCTTCTCTCACAATTTCAGCTCGTGTACCCCAAGGCTGTATTCTTGGACCCTTACTCATCCATGGTTCTATATGATTTTTCATTGGTTCTTAATTTCTCCCAATTTCATCTTTATGCTAGCTTTATCTTTACACTCAGATTTACATTCAATTTCAATTCAAGCAACAGCTCTGAAGCTATCTCAACCATGATCTTCAATCTCTTAACCTCAATAACCAATAATAATCTCAATAGTCAAGAAATAACGGCATTATTTTCACTGTGTGGTGATTAGTGACCGACCGTTAATCGATAATTATTCAGAAATCATGAGATGCGGTCTAGTGTGATGTAGGTTTCAGAAAAAACCTTTTATATTTAAAAAAAATTAATTTTTTATAAAGAAAATGTTTTTCTGAAACCTACATCACACCAGACTGCATCTCACGATTTCTGAATAATTATTTTCAATCCCAACAAATCCCAGCACTAATTAATTTCCAATAAACCCGTTAATACAAATTACCATCCGCATACCAATGGCTCTCCTATTAATTTTTTCCTAATGTTAAGAATCAATCTCTCGGTGTATTTTTAACTCCAGGCTTTCATGGCATGACCATGTGAGCTCTATTATTAAAAAGATCTACTCAAGCTCCATTCTCTTCGACGCGTTAACTTTTTCACTCCATAGAAAACTATAGAGTTCTCTTCTCAAACATGTCAATACAATATAATTGGTAAATAAAATAAGAAATCTAATGCGAAAATATCCAAGTTTTTCAAATTTATTTTGGTCTGACTATCCTTGTAGGTTTGATTATATTCCCTTTCTGCAGTCATATCGCATACCCGCAAGAAAAGTGACACAACTCAATAAAAGAAAATTTTACAGGAGAAACAGATGAAAATTTACTTTTTTCACTTATGTATTAAGTACACGCAATTATGATTGTTGGCAATAAAAACTGTCATGATCCATCAATATTGTCCATCGATATAGGATTAGACGATAATATTGCTAGGGAAGAACGGTGTGTATATTTTGCAATTAATTAAGGCTTTCAGTTGAAATAAAAAAGTCAATGATACGAGCGGGATTCGAACCTACGATCTTCGGCTTGATACGCCGCTGCTCTACCACTTGAGCTATTGTGACCTCGATCCACTCGGACACCAACCTCCCATCTCAACCACACCTTTTGAATTTTCCCTCTTTGAGATGGGGGGTTGGTGTCCGAGTGGTCGAGGTCACGATAGCTCAAGTGGTGGAGCAGCGGTGTATCAAGCCAAAGATCGTGGGTTCGAATCCCACTCGTTCCATTGACTTTTTTATCTCAACTGAAAACCTTAATTAATTAGATATTGGTCAAGTGGACCACGAAACTAGTGAATTTAATAAGTTGTGTATATTGTGAAAAGGAAGGGCTCTAAGATGTTCACCTGGAGGATACACGCTTTAACGGAAATGTAATTAGGTAAGGCAGCCCTCGATCTGTCAGGATTTTTTGGTGCGATTTAACGATAATTTAATTATTCAAAGATTTTTCAAATTTTTTACCCCGTCTTGCTCTTAATAATGCATTAAGAGCCAAACTAGGTAAAAAATTGTTAGTTAAGTTTCAATCTATCGAGTCATAGTGCACCATGGGACTTATGGAATTAGTATGGGGATGTAAAGACCTCGGAGGTCTCGGCGGCAATCCAAAGATTGTCCGCTAAACTTTCCCACACCAATTTTAACTAGATTTAGTCATCTGTTTTATAATACATTAACTTGTATCACATTTAATGATTGATTAATTTAATTTAATATTATTATTAATAATGCAATTTCACATTGTTATAGAAAGGTTTTTCTGTTCATTTTTGGGACTTTGTTTTTTAAATTTTCTTTTGTTTAATTATCTGAAGGTTTTTTTCTAACTTTGTAGGAAAACTGAAAGCAAAAATTGGCCAAGTTTATACAATGGGCCAGTTAAGTCCTACTTAAAGAAGTGCCTCTTAAAGAAATGCTATTTTACTATCCCCCCCTTGATATCAAAATTAATCATTAAAAAAAAAAAAGCACGTAATAGGAGAAAATATCGCAACTTTTTATTTTCCAGAACGCCATTCGAATCCTGGGAAGGGTGAAAGGACGGCCATCCGTCAAATTCGAAAGGGTTGCACCCCTCGGGTGGGGGTGCCGCCAGTAGTGGGGGCAGGGGTTGTAAGGTAGGTCCAGGGGAAAAATCCCTCCAGTTTTGCTCGAGACACCCTCTAGACTAGTGGTTACCCTTAAATTGGCATTGCATTGATACTCTACAACGATTTTGGGACTTGTTTTTTATTCTGTCGATCGGCCAAGAGAATAGGCGATTTTTTAAACAGTTTTTTGGTAAGTGAAATTTAAAAAATCTATTTCTTTTGTGCTTGTTTATTTTCCCGGTGTATTATTTCAACTTAATTTAATTCTTAAACACCTTACATTACAAATTTTAAATACATTACCGTTGCAATTGACATTGATAAAAGTAAACTTTTTTTTTTTTGAACATTTAGGAAAATAAAGTTATAATTTTAACAATTTTTCATATTTTGTGCTACAAATAATCGCTTGCTATAAAATGTGAGTATTTTGAAAATACAACTGTTTTTTTTTTGTTTTTTTTGAATAATCAAAAATAGATCATTTCCTAATAATTCAAAGATTTTAAATTTGTCAATAGGTACATACTTCTTATCTGAAAAAATCTAAACTTTCAGTATTTTAAAAATTAAGAAAAATTAAAGTTCACGTATAATAAATCAGGATGGAATTTGCAAAACTCTAGTTGAAAGAATAATTATAATTGAACCCGTTTATCCATGCTGTGAGTGACAAATAAAATTTTCTTAGTTCCATATAAATTTATTTTTCAAAATTCTTTTGAAAAAATTCCCAGGTCGAGTCTCTGCTGGGAAATCCAAACAGAAAGTTCTGTTTCTTGCAGGACAAAAGTCCTATTATATTACGCATGTTTGTCCGCTTTCTAGGTCACAGTTTATAATATATAGCCTCCATTGCGTAAAAAAAGGAAAGGAGAAAGTAGTTTTTTACCACAATGAGAAACTACTGCACCCCCTCCGGGGCTCTTTGTACATCCTCTTTTCTTCAAATTCCTACCGCCCTGCCCTCTTTAAATCGAGCTGTTTCCGTGGCTTAAAAAAAGGTTTATTTTGTTATATTCTTATATAAAAAATTAAAAATAAATACTTTTTTTTAGTAGTTATTGAGTGATTCTTTTATTTATCTTTGTAGAAAATTTCTTCTATTTGTATGCAAATTTTTTCTGTTTTTGTTAAGGGCTGTATAAATTTTCCTTCGAACTTTACGATTTACCTGAGGCATCCCTAATTTCCAAAACTGTTTTTCGACAGCTTGCAGGATAATTCAAAAGGGTAATAAAAAGGGTTGGCATGTTTTTCCCGGACCGCCTTTTTGACATACAAAAAAGCAAATAGTGGAACCCTCTTATTGCTTTGAAAAATAGGGCGCCTCACAAATAAGAAATTTACCTGTGAAAGGGTTGTTTTTAACGGTACACCCCCTCGAGCGGTTTTGACATGAATGCAAATCCCCACCCGCTTTTTGCCCCCGATTACGGTGGATTTACGACATCTTTCCGGGAAATTTCGTTCCGACTCATTCGTTCCGTTTTTCAGTTGTGATGAGATGATCGTCGCCCCGGAACTTTTCGCCGCTCAGAACTCGACGATGAACTGCGGAATCCAATACGACTCGAGGCACGTCTTCCCGGGCCTCAACATGGATTCTCCTTGGATGGGTCATCATGTCCAAGCGACAGTGGTAAGTGGTTTAATCGAATGTTTTTCGATAAAAACAAGGCCATTTTTAACTAAGAAAGGCATTCAAATAAAAGATTAGATAACGATTTTGCCAGTTTGCTAAGGAGAGCAACAAAAGAAACAATTCTACAATCATGTTTTATTATTTCCCATTCTTATCAAAAGCACATAAATGCATGAAATTTTGATATCAAAATTATAACAATCAGTAGACAACTTTTAAACCCACTAATAAACAAATTACAGTACAGTTTACTAGCAATAAAAGTGACAGCCCATAAAACCATTCTGGATTTTTTTTACATATTATTCCTTACAAATTATTTAATACATTCAGCGCCTAACTACGTATAATAAAAATACTTATTGAAATAAATAATACGTAACATAAAGGAAAAGTCAAAAGTATTTTAAAGGCATGGAACATTATTCTGCCTTCTGACATGCATGACATATTTATTATAATTTTTTTTAAATTATTATAAATCAGTAATTAACAGATCATTATGACATTGAAAGAATTTACTTTACTATTAACGCGTTAGTACTATAATTATGATGTTACAACTAAAAATATAAGTTAGAAACATCTATTAAAAATGACAAAATTTAACTAATATAATAACTTATTAAATCCATTATGTTTAGTAGTCTAATTGACCAAATTACTTCTTTCAATTAATTAGTCTTTTTATGTAAGGTCTTGGTTGAGATGAAAAAGTGAAAAACTAGCCGAAGGTCGTGGGTTCGAATCCCGCTCTTGTCACTAACTTTCTCATCTCAACCAAGCCTTACAAAAAAGAATAATTAATTGAAATTAATATTTTTTTACATTTTATTAGGTTTCGTGATCCGCTTGACCAAATAAATTCTTTTCAATAATTGGAGTGGATCAAAGTCACGACTGCTCAAGTAGTACAGCAGCGGCGTATTTAACCGAAGGTCGTGGGTTCGAATCCCCCTTGTGACACTGACTTTTTTTATCTCAACCAGAACCTTAATTATTGAAAATAATAATTTATGTTTTTACATTAAAAAATGCGTGGGTATTACTTTGTGGTCAATGAATAGCAATCATTTTTTACTATACATGTATTTAGGATTTCTAAATGTAAATTTTCTAAACCATTAAAAAAAAGTGTGATGATTAGTGACCGTTAATCGATATTTATTTAGAAATCGTGAGATGCGGTCTGGTGTGATGTAGGTTTTAGAAAAACATTTTCTTTATCGTGCCAACGTTTCGAT